GAACTGTGGGTTTTGTATTTTTATTTTGAGCGCTTACTGTAAAACACACTGCGGTGAACTTTATTTTTCCGGTCGTCTGTAGGTAGGCCTACCTGATGATATGAGATTATTTAACGCCATGACTTGACTCTCAAATTATCTTTCTCTGAAATTATTATAATGTGATATATCTTCTCCACCACTGCTCATAATAATTCGTGCATCACCTAATTTCATCAAAACATATAGGCCTGGCTCACAGGAAAGAACAGTGTATGTTTAATCTATCTAATATTGTGTTAGTCATACTATACAAAGTTTTATTGATTTCTGTTTTGAATAATACAGAAGATGAAGAGCTTTAAAAAAATTTTTTTTTTTTTAAATCACATATTAAATCGCATTATTGATAAAACAAATTAAAAAAAAATCACAAATGATTATTTTCCAAGATCATTCAGCCCGAATAAATAGTGTTATATTCTTCCATTCTGTGTTTTTTCAAGCAATGAATAACATCCACATGCAATACAATAAGGTAACGAACATCTGGTAACAAGTCATGAAAGTACGCTAGAGCTGTAACGTCCCAGTCGATTAATTGGTCGGTACGTTCTGGTTCGACCAAAATTCTGATTGGTCGATTTTTTGCCGCATTCATTTCATCAGTTTTCATTTCATCAGTTTTGCCGCGCTTCATCAGGTGGAAACCACTAATTGCTAATGGGGGTGTTTTCAGAGCACCCCTGTTTCACAGGTAATAGTCTGTCTTAAGAACACCCCCTTGTTTTTACTTTTTTGGATTAGCCCAACCCACCGGAGGAGAAGAGAGACAGATAAGTAGGCTATAGACGGTTTGATGCTAAATAGGCCTATTATTTATCTATAATTAACTGTGAGAGTGTTTAATAGTCCGTCTTCTAACATGTCAACAACAAAGACATCGACAGTGTGGAAGCACTTTGTTGACAACGGGAAAAAGGTTCAATGCAAAATTTGCAACCAACAGTTTGCCTTCCACAGCTCAACGACAAACATGACGTACCATCTAAAAGCGGTAAGCTAACTTGTCTGCGTTAGGTTGCCCTGTCTGTATTTTGAGTAGGCTATATGAACATATCAAAATTTGATTTCAATGTTTTAGTGTAATAATCATTTTATAAATGCAGGCGCATCCATCCATAATGACGGCATCCCCCAGACACACCCACGCTGGATTTTAAGCCTCCTTTATCATCCAAACGGAAAAATAATATAACGGAAGGAACTGTTAACGTTATTGCTCAGGATATGAGGCCCATTGCTGTTGTGGAGGGCCAAGGTTTCAAGAACTTGTTAAAAGTTTTGGAACCTGGATATACCGTGCCAGCACGCCACACAATCACGCATGCACTAACCGCAAAATATGAGGGACTCAAAGAGAAAGTATCAGAGTTAATACGACACAGCGAGGGACTGAGCTTGACCACAGATATGTGGACATCTCTTAGAATGGAGTCCTATATGACAGTGACTGCCCATTTCTTTGACGGAGACTGGAAAGCACAGAGTCTTGTGCTTGAGACAAAACAAATAGAAGAGGCGCACACGGGAATAAACATTGCTGCGCTACTATCTGAAGTTGCTGATACCTTTGGAATTCAAGAAGCAAAGAGAGTTTCTGTTGTATGTGACAACGCGGCTAATATGGCACTCTGTGTGGAAACACTAAAGGAATCACATAAATGGCCAGAGATGCAGGGCGTCAGGTGTGCCGGGCACACTTTGCAGCTCTGTATTAACGCTGCACTCAAACAAGATCCAATTTGTCGTGCCGTGGCTGCATCACGTCATCTGGTGGGACATTTCAAAAAGGGGCACAAAGCAAAAATTGGGCTAAAACAGAAGCAGGAGCAGCAAAACGTCCCTCAGCATGAATTAATTCAGGATGTGACCACACATTGGAACTCAACATTTTCAATGTTGGAGCGACTGCTGGAGCAACGCTGGCCCATTACCGCAGTGCTGTCTGACCCAAACTTTACAAAGAAAAGCGACAGCAGTACACTGGACCTTACCACAGCACACTGGAATGCGATACAGGACATTAAAAATGTGCTGAAACCGATGACAACCCTGACCGAGCTGCTGTCTGAAGACGAGAACGCGTCCCTGTCTGCAACAGTACCCATGCTAGCAAACTTGAAGAAACGTCACCTGGCCATCGCGGATGATGACAGCCCCATTACCAAAAAAATGAAAAGCAAGCTGGTCGAAGAAATTGACAGTAGATGGGAGTTTAAAAACCGAATGATGATGACTAACAGTGTATACATTACAGCTGCAGTAGTAGACCCTCGTTTTAAGCAGCTGTCTTTTCTGGATGATGCCAAACGAGACGAGGCCTATATAGTAGTTGCACAGCTGGCAGAACGACTGGGTGCACTCAGTACAGTCACGGGCAAAGGTGAACCTGGAAGTGAGGAAGAGCAACATGTGTCAAAAAAGCAGAAAAACGACAAAGAGAAGGAGATTGCTATGCTGTTGTGCGAAGACGAAGACGATCTGCTTTCTAGAGAATCAGGTGGGAGAAGCACAGTGACAGAAGAAATGAAAAACTATCTTCAAGACAGAACCAAAATCGACTCCGGACCATTGGGGTGGTGGGAAAAAAACCAAGACAGATACCCGAGCCTGGCCCGAGTTGCAAAGCGACTGCTCTGTATCCCTGCAACATCCACGCCATCTGAACGCATTTTCTCCAAGGCAGGATTTATTGTCAATAAAGCAAGAAGCTGTCTCCTTCCAAAGAACGTGGATATGCTTGTGTTTCTCGCACACAACACAAAAAAGTGTGGAGTGGACATTGACTGTACTCTCTGTGAGTAGCCATTTGCTCGTTTTGGACATTAATCAAAATTTATAAGTTTGCACATTTATTTATTGGATTTGGGCACCTTTTATTTTTTGTAGCCTAACACGCAATTGCGCTGTGCCCACTTTTTTTTGAGCCTATGCTTTATTTTTCAGTTATGCACTTTATTTCATTTTGGACATTAATAACATTTTATAATTTTGCACATTTATTTGACATACTTGTGGATTTGGGCATTTGATTCATTAATTTTTGTATTTCTTCTTCTGAGTGCACTTACCTTGTTGTTGCCCTTTATTCTGCTTTGTTTAAAATTTGGCTAATAGTAGCCTAATACTTTTATGGTTCCCTTTTATTATTGTGCAAAGTGGACATTTATTATTTCTAGTATTATTTATTGGATTATTTGGGCACTTTATTATTTTTTAATTTTTTAATTTGGAACCTAATGCGAAATTGCGCTGTGCCCACTGTGTGTGTTAGTTTTGAGCCTAAGATGCTTTATTTTTCAGTTATGCACATTATTTCGTTTCTGCTCTTGATCTGGTTTGTTTAATAAATATTCTTTGTTTATTAAAGTGGATGTGCCTTTTGTGTTTATTAAGAGCAAAAACTTTAAGTTAATAGTCTATTCGTGTCTGCCGCCACTCAACTGAGCGCTCAGCTGAAATGATCATAGTGTCTAATAAACTTATTATAACATATGACAAAAATAATTGTCTAAATGATGTTGCATATTCCTCAACAATTCTTGTGATGATATCACTAGTTGACAAGCAACATAGTACTATTTTCGTAAATCGTAGGCTATGATATTGCGCAGGTGCACGTGACGCATTGCTGTCAGAGCCGACAGACTCATTTAGTGCAAAATAATTAGATAAAAAACGATTTAATAAACTGCAAATAGCCTACTATTTTTTTATGTGTTTATGTTTGTTGTTTATTTACAATTCATTTAGGCGGACAACAAGGCTATCAAGTACTGTGCAGAGTGCACAGCTGACTAATTTAAAAAAATAATAATAATTACGTCATTTTTAGTCGAAAATTTCAGGACTTTAGTCGACCAAGATTTTCTTTGGTTGATTACAGCCCTAAAGTACGCATACAGATATCACAGATATGTTTTCTACGTATGCACCGTTTTGTATTCTGTATGAAAGTTTACACGTTTGATGAGATACCTGCCCTGAACACATTTACATGCCAACATTCACCCAGTCATAGCGCCACCTATCGGCAACAGGAAGTGACCTTCAACGAAGCAGCCCCCGCTGCATTTCTGTGGCACATGTATCATGTTCAGAGGACCAAAAAGCCTCATAGAGAAATGCCCTAAACCCAACAGGAAGTCTGCCATTTTGAATTTTATGGAAGAGTACGGTCTAGACCTGCTCTATATGGAAAGTGCAATGAGATAACTGTTAAATGATAAATGTTGTGAATTGAAGCTAGCCTATATGATTGGATTGAATTAAAAACAATACACATCTGGGTAGTTTAATCTGTAACAAATTATCATATTCTATAAAGTGATATCCATGCACTCTTTATCTGAAAAGTCACCAAATCTGTCAGATAAATGTAGTGCAGTACAGTATTTCCCTCTGAAATGTAGTGAATCAGAAATACTCAAGTACAAGTGCCTCAGAAGAATGCAGCATAGTGTTTGAGTAATGTAGTTTGTTACTTTCTCCCACTGCAGTTTGATCAGCAGCTCTGCAGACACTCAGTGTCATGCCTCATGTGTCAGCTTGCAGCATCCCATACTACACACTAACACCAGCGTGTTTCAGCAAATACTAAGCCATCCGTGCTTGTTACTAAGAGGAAAAGATGTGTAACGTTACTGACTCAACTTAGCATCTGTACAGACTCGATCTTTATTATGGATCTGTGTTGCGCCACCATTCACCACCTGCTAGCAGCCCCTACATTTATTTTCATCAGAGATTAGAGAGTTATTTCTCGGAAATTTCTGACTCAAAATAAAAACGAGCCATCCAGCCGTGTCTCAAAGGAGAACACCAAGCACTGGCCAGGTGCGCTTTAGAGACCGCGGTGCTGCTGCTGTTTCTCACTGAGTCACCCCGCCGCTGACGGGTCCGGCCAAAGCCACATTCAGTCTGTATTACACTATACTTTTATTTAGCATTATACTTACTGCGGGACGGCTGGTAGCTTTACAGAAGGAACAGAAGAACCAAGATGTTTCATTTCCGGGTGCAGAGAGCTCTGCTGCTGCTGCTTCTTGGTTAATGGCGGGATTGCAAACAACTTTTAAGTGCATACCTACCGCCACCTACTGTACTGGAGTGTGTAACATCATATCACTCAGCTACAAACCCCAATAAGGTGCTCTCATATTCTGCTCACCAGCCCAGTGTCTTTAAAAAATTTAAATAATGCCTTCCTGGTGATTCTTATACCCTTTTCTTCTCCTTCTGTTCCCAATACCCCCATCAGATTCCATTCCCGCCCTGCTTCCTGAACCCTATCTTGAAATATCTTTTCAACTCAAACAATATACAGTGCAAAGTGACATGTTCAACATTGTCTTTAACCCCACAGTTTTCACAGTTTTCACTCTTCCTTTTCCCCAATAAAAACAAGGTGCCACTCAGTCCTGTGTGATCTACTCTCAGTCTTGTCATTATAATTTCCTCCCGCCTGTTCCTTTCGCTATCATTTTTATTACTGACAGACAGTTTGTATTTTATATTAACTCCTTCCTTTCCTGTCTTCCTCCCACCATTTCTGCCATATTTGAGTACCTTTCTTCTTAATGGCTTTTTTTCCTTCTCCTTTTCCTAGAGGTATTTGAACTGTTATTTCCTTTTGTAATGCCTCTTTTGCTAGTTTGTCTGCAATCTCATTTGCATTTACTCCCTCATGAGCTGGCACCCAGCAAAACTGAACATCTATCCCTCCCCGATGTAATCTCAACAAGCTGTGAAACATTTCTATCAGTAGGTCTTCTCTGACAGATGTCATTGACTGAATTCTTTTAATAACTGCTAAGGAGTCTGTGCATAATATCACCCTATCAGGTCTGACCTCTTCAACCCACTGTAATGCTATAATGACTATTCTGCTGTATATACAGATAGCCTTTCTGATAATCGTTATTGAGATATTTATTTTGAATTCTGGTATCTGTATTCCAATTCCCACACATTCTTGTTTGTTTTCAGATCCATCTGTATAGATTTTATATAATTATGGTAACTGTTTCTCAGATAGCTGCTTGTCCGTATTCCCACTTCCTCTATTCTCCATCCTCTTTTCTTTTCCAGTATACTAAAATCTGTTTTTACGTCTGGATAAAGCCAAGGTGGAATGTTACTGACTGGAGTGGGTGTGGTGAAATCTAATGCTTCCATTCCGTATTCCCCGACTCTCTTTTCCTCCGTCCATCCAAACCCATGCCCCCCGAAACTTGAAATATTCCCAACAATCCTTTGTTATGTCCTTTGCAGGGTTTTCTTTCCCACTTCCTTTCAATCTGACCCAATATTCTAGCGCTAGTTTCTCTCTTCTTAACTCCAGTGGTGTCTCTCCAGCTTCTATGAGTATTGTGTTAATGGGAGTTGTCTTAATGGCTCCAATGCATATCCGTAAAGCTCTGTATTGTAATTTATTAATTTTTTCCAATGTTGTTTTAGCTGCTGCATCATATGCCATGCAACCATAATCTATTGATGATCTCATGCATGCTCTATATATGTCAATTAGTGACTGTTTATCTGCACCCCAGTCACATCCCGCCACCACTCTCAGTAAATTAATAACTTGTTTGCATTTAGTTTCCAATTGCTTTATGTGTGTTTTCCATGTGTACTTACTATCAAACCACAATCCCAAATACTTAATAGGGGTGGGAATCACCAGAGGCCCCACGATATGATATTATCACGATATTTATGTTGCGATTCGATTTTATTGCGATTTTAAATATATTGAGATATATTGCAATTTATTACCTTTTTCCAACTTCCAATTAGGTCCCTAAAGTCAAACTTTGTCAACATCTGTTTATCTAAAAAGATCTAAACAGAAATTTCTCTGTTTGTTCATATCACTTTTTCAGTCCTCTATATGGTCCTGTTAAGTTTTCTAGTGGACTAAAAAAGCAATAGATTTTATTATTCTAGCACCAAAAAGTTAAAACTCCCATCTGCATTTTATATACTAAAATATCGATACTTGGCGTCCGTGAATCGATACAGTATTGTCATGGCAAATATCACGATACTATGCTGTCAATTTTTTCCCCACCCCTAATACTTAAATTCATATACTTTTTCCATTGGCTGCTGATATAGTAAAAGCTTTTCTACATGACACTTTCGCTTGTTTGTGAATACCATATAACAGGATTTGCTTGCTGATATTTTAAATTTCCACTTGGATGACCACTTCTCTACTTCCCCTATTGCTTTCCTAATGTTCTCTTAACACATATGTCTCATTTCTTCCTCTCATCCATATGGCCCCATCATCTGCATATAACGCTGATTTGATGTGTCCATCTAAATCTGAAAATATATCATTAATCATAATGTTGAATAATATAGGACTAATTGCGCTCCCCTGGGGAATGCCATTATTTACCTTAAAGTCTGTAGAAATTTCTGATCCAACCTTTACTCTAATTTCCTATCTGTTAAAAAGTCTAGTATCCAGTTATAAATCCTTCCTTAAACCCATTCTATTTAGTTTAATAAGTTGTCCTTCCCCCCACATAGTATCATATGCCTTCTCAATGTCAAAATACACTATTATCATCAGCTCTTTAATTTCAGTGCTTTTTCTACCTGATTACTTACTCTAACAAGAGCATCTGTTGTGGAGCGCTTTTCCGAAATCCATTTTGTATATTACTCAGGAATCTTCTCTGTTCATTACATGTGATAACCTACGAACTATTATCCTCAGAGAGAATTATACATGACATTCCATCAAACTCATTTTTGACAGCTATTTCCGGTCCCGCCCCCACACCGGATGTCTGTGTGTAACTGATAAGAGGGTGCGTACATCCTTCCATTGTGTGTTTTTGACTGATAATTGGAGGAGGTTTTTCATTGATTTAAAGACTTTATTAAGTAATAAAACTTGAATGAATTAACTAGTAGGTGTTTATGGCAATAAATTATCATTAAAAAAGTATAGCAGTGAGTTATAAGTAAAGGAGGAATCTCCGGGGCCAGCAAAGGATCAGTAGGAGGTTTCTTTGGAATCAAGTCAGTCTTTATTATTATTATTAAACAAGTGAAGAATAAATTGAAATTAAAGCTGAAAGCAGCGTTGGGCGGGCCCTCGCACTTGTAAGCGCGTCCGCGTGTGAGCCGGCCGAGTTGCATATTCTGGAGCTCTGCCGGTGCGGCTGTGAATTTGCTACGCGGTTATGACGCCGCATGAAGGTGCTATATGTCACTTCCTGTGTCCCCTATGTGGCGCTACATAGCACTTGCCGCTATGAATATAAATCGGTATTGGTGTGTAGATGTCTGCGGGGTGGGACAGTTATCAAGCACGTAAAGTTTGTTTCAGATGTGAGCATGTACACTGAACAATAATGTACCCAAACAATAAAATAAATTCCTTTTATATTTCCCTGCCTTGTTGTTTATGTGTACATACAGAGGAAGAATGTGAGAACAGCACACATTTCATCGTTACTGTGTGTTAGAGCATGGGAGAACAGTGGATACTTTTAATACAGCCCACACCCCTAATACTGTGTAACTATAACAAGTAGAGAACAGAAGAAAAAGATGTTCTTTCTTTACAACTGTCTGCATAGCTATTCATATTGTGTAATGAATGAAAATAAATAGGCCTACTAGGCTCCTCTCTACTTTGACATTTAAGATTAGCTTGTTTGATCCACCTTCATACACATGTGACATTACTGTACAACTTGAGAAAGGTGAGTTGTTTTCTGCTCCAGCCTGCCTAAAAGAAAAGCGTTTTTGGGATTAAATGGACTTTATTAGCTGCTGCAGTGCAGGATGAACTCAGAATAGACCCATTTCTCACCTTATTATTCTAAATCATGCAACGAAGAAGAAGAAATGCATAAGAAATCCTGGGACAAAATCTGTCCACAAATACTGTACAGCATGTAGTCTGATGAACAAGACTTGTGTTATAGCTGACTTGGGCAGTGAAATGTTTAATTTTTTTAATTCATGTGGTCATAGTTGTCCACAACTCAAATCAGAATATAAGAAGAAATGTTTTATACCACCTCAAGAAGGCTTCCTATCAGAAAGGTAGGAAGGTATTTCAAATGTACAACTGCAGTACTAAATCTAAGTAAAGTAATTTCCCTGACATTTTTGTGTTACTTTACTTTTAATAGACGCATGTAACAGGTTTTATACTTCCTGTGAGTATAATCCAATCAATCTTATTTTCATACTGTATATCCGTTGTGTAATTTGATAAATTGTGTTGTATGTGTGCTCGTCGCTCGCAGCTCTCAGAGAAGACTCTGACTGCAACATGCGTCTTTGTAAAGAGAGAAACAGACAGAAAAAGTCTCTAACTCTGCCTGTCAGCTCGCTCTGCTCCGTTAAAACTGAATTTACCATACAGAATTGAATACGAGTGCACTCCAGATTTAGCTGCAGCCAGCTGACCGTGTGCTTCTCCCTATACCGCAGTTCTGTGTCCATGCATGCAGCAAACTGAAAGCACTGTCTGTCGGAGCGTCTACGTGAAAAGAGAAGGAAGACATTGCTGGTAGTATTGTCTTCAGAGTTGTTAAACACCTCAGCGCACTGAAGGAAGCCATCTGACTGTGTGAGGGGCAAGATCGTTGATGTCTGCAGGCAGAGTAGGAGCTCTCCTGTCTGACTGGTCCACCAATAGCAGAGAAGATGACCCCTTGAGACACAGCCCCTCCTCATTTGCATAATGAGGCAGAAATGCATACAAAATTTAAAAAAGACAGGCAGAAATAAATACCATGGGTGAAAATAAATAAGGTAAATAAATACAAAGGAAGAATAAAACAGACAAAAATATTAAAACACACACATAAATAAATACATTAAAAAAATTAGTAATAAATAAAGTTGAATAAACAAATAAGGTAATTATAACAAAGGTGAATAGTAAAGGCACTAATTAAAATATACATTTATGTCTCCTTGTATAATTTAATTACTACCTACATTTATTTATTTACTTTATTTTTTGTGTATTTAATTGGATGCTTATTTATTTATTGAGCATTTATTTATTTCTGTA